GGACTATCTGTTGTTTATGTAAGCTTTTCTATCACGTAATTTCCAGTGTAAAGCAGTATTTTGACAAAGATTCTCCGTTAATGATAGCTGTGTTGTTTATTGTTATATGCACATTGTTATATGTATTTGTGTTGTACAAATATGGAAGAATAAAGTACTTTAATTAACATCATGGATGCGAGTCTTTTGAGTAACAGAAAAAACAAGACAAGCGGAGCCTTAGCCAAAGCCTCTGCCTTTGGTTAAGGCTCCGGCTAAGGCTCCGGTTAAGGCTTTGGTTAAGGCTCCGGTTAAGGCTCCGGTTAAGGCTCTGGTTAAGGCTCTGGTTAAGGCTCCGGTTAAGGCTCCGGTTAAGGCTTTGGTTAAGGCTCTGGTTAAGGCTCTGGTTAAGGCTCCGGATAAGGCTCCGGTTAAGGCTTTGGTTAAGGCTCCGGTTAAGGCTCCGGTTAAGGCTCTGGTTAAGGCTCTGGTTAAGGCTCTGGTTAAGGCTCCGGATAAGGCTCCGGATAAGGCTCCGGTTAAGGCTCCGGATAAGGCTTTGGCTAAGGCTCTGGATAAGGCTTTGGTTTAAGGCTCCGGTTAAGGCTCCGGTTAAGGCTCCGGTTAAGGCTCTGGTTAAGGCTCCGGTTAAGGCTCCGGTTAAGGCTCCAGTTAAGGCTCCGGATAAGGCTCCGGATAAGGCTCCGGTTAAGGCTCCGGTTAAGGCTCCGGTTAAGGCTCCGGATAAGGCTCCGGATAAGGCTTTGGCTAAGGCTTCGGATAAGGCTTTGGATAAGGCTTTGGCTAAGGCTTCGGATAGGGCTTTGGCTAAGGCTTCGGATAAGGCTTTGGCTAAGGCTTCGGATAAGGCTTTGGCTAAGGCTTCGGATAAGGCTTTGGCTAAGGCTTCGGATAAGGCTTTGGCTAAGGCTTCGGATAAGGCTTTGGCTAAGGCTTCGGATAAGGCTTTGGCTAAGGCTTCGGATAAGGCTTTGGCTAAGGCTTCGGATAGGGCTTTGGCTAAGGCTTCGGATAAGGCTTTGGCTAAGGCTTCGGATAAGGCTTTGGCTAAGGCTTCGGATAAGGCTTTGGCTAAGGCTTCGGTTAAGGGTTTGGCTAAGGCTTCGGATAAGGCTTTGGCTAAGGCTTCGGATAAGGCTTTGGCTAAGGCTTCGGATAAGGCTTTGGCTAAGGCTTCGGATAAGGCTTATCCGAAGCCTTAGCCAAAGCATCTGCCTTATCCGAAGCCATATAGCTAAGGCTCTGGCTAAGGCTTCGGATAAGGCTTTGGTTAAGGCTTCGGATAAGGCTTATCCGAAGCCTTAGCCAAAGCCGAAGCCTTATCCGAAGCCTTGGCCAAAGCCTTATCCTGAGCCTTGGCCAAAGCCTTATTCGATACCACATTTCAATACCACATTTCAATAAATAAAATCAAGATCTGCATTTATTTATAGTATTACATGTCATATTATTATACATGTATGATATTAAATTTCTCAGAGCCTCTCGATTATTAGTATTTGCAAATAAAAGCAGATAAAAGCTCACTCTTCCAAAGGTGCCACTATTTTTCATTATATAGCAGCAGCCATCACAACTTGCTCACAAGCTCTTGATCACGATTTCGGGTGGCTCCCCCCACTATCTGTTATCTCTTTTTTGCTATATACGAGAAATGTTTTTTTATTCGATTGAGCAAAGAAAGAGAAACGAGACAGATAATCGAAGTTGAGTTGCTTAGCAACCTCTCTGACTCATGAGAACCGCGGGCTCATTCAAATCTCCGTTCCAGGCCGGACTCGTTTTCCTGGCAGTATTACTGATTCACTGTATCTTCAACTTGTTCTTGGACGACACCAACGAACCACTTATCCAGAGAAAAGCAGACCCAATGAAAATCCCTCTGATCACACCAATGTAGCCAGTAGGCAGCACTGAAAACGTCAAATAAAAACAACATTTAAAAAATACATCCTCTTCTCAGCAGGGCTGAAAAACGTAGCTGGCATGCGGCTAGAAGCGCAGGCTCAAGCGCGCGGGGGTTCAAAAAATGCCTTTAATTTACGGGGAAACTGAAAGTTTGGGATTTAAACGCAAAAAAACAACGTCGTGGTTGGAAACATAAGCCTATTTTCCGTATTTCTGAACAATAAATTAATTTTCAAAAAGAACTAGAGGGTGTAGAAAGTTTTCTAAAATTGTTTTCATAAAGAAAAACAGTCCGGAGCTGCCTCCGGACCGTTTTTCTTTAATTCCCCATGAATTAAAGGCATTCTGAACCCCCGCGCGCTTGAGCCCGCGACTCTAGCCGCATGCCAGCTACGTTTTTCAGCCCTGCTCCTCTTCTCATGTTTCTCTCACACTGACTGAGATCCTAAAACACATAGGTCCGCGATGCGTGCGTGCAAACTGTATCGCGAATTTGATTTCCTAAACAAAGATCCAGTGGGTATTTCGTGGAATATTGCCCTACTGCGGGTAACGTATCTAATCAACTTCTTGTTGATAACAGTTTCTTTAAGAACTAAATTCACTGAACCTTCCTGGTGTCTTAGAACCGCACTACAATTTCATGTTGCAAAGTGAAGGGAAACTTACACAAACCTTCAATAACCATAAGCAGGAGGAGGTAGGAGCACTTATAGTTGTTTTATTGTAAAGAACCCGGATACCCTTAAAGGAGCTATGTCACGATATTTAAAGTTATTTTTGCGAAGCGCAAAATCACCTTCAAATTGAAGAAAGCCTCAAAATAACAGTTTACTAAGGTAGAAAAACACCAAAGAGGTAATAATAAACCAAACAGGAACAAGGATGGAGAAGATTAAGATGGATTGTGAACGGCGAACTTGAAAAAAATGGCCAATTTTTTCAAGATGCGCCATCCGTGACATACCTCCTTTAAGCCGCAGTGACAAACCACTAGATAAAGTGGCATGGAGTATGTTGGGCCTTTTTGGACCATTGTGACCACACCTTCAAGGTGGAGGCCAGGTTGCTACAGTGGTAAGCGAAAATTTCATGCCACACGGTAATGGCTGCGTCAATTCCAAGCCCGCTCATCCCCTCCCCCCCCCCCCCCCCCCCCGGGCATTTGTCGGGCATTTGTCATTTTTTTGTCAGAAGGTTGAAAATGCCCCACGGTGAGGTCAGCTTACATGCACAAAATCCCCACGGTGGGGCTTCAGGAGCAGTGCAAATGCCCGACCCACGGGACAAGTTCAAAAACTTTTTTGAGAGGATCGAGGAATTTAAAAATCTAAATTCTAAGCAGAACTATTAATGATGGACACTATAATTGTTCACAAATACATAGCTCTTTGCGGGACTGAAACGAGGTTGAATATCAACTCAGTTTTTATATTTTCTATCGGGGGCAATCAGGAAATTTTAAATAAACAACAAAACATGTACGTCTTTTAAAATACGAAAGATCGCGTTGCCTTTGACAATGCCCCACCCCCGGGCTGCCCGGTTATAGCAAATGCCCCACCCTAGGGGATGGAAAAGTTGTAAAATGCCCGACAAATGCCGGGGGGGGGGGGGGGATGGTCGGGCTTGGAATTGACGGAGCCATAAACGTTATTCCAAACCGATGTTCAGCTCATCGAGCATTCCTAAACATAACGACCCATAATGGCGGACTCAAAAACTTCATGTACGCTATTACCGAAGTGTAACATATCAACACATTCGAAACAAACCCTGAGACTGCGCAGTACAGACTGGAAATCATCTATAAAGGGGGGAGGGATCTAAATAGGGAAATACAGTAGTGAATGTTTTACAGCGCCTTTCAATAACACGCGAACTCTTAGTTCAAAACCCAATTTATAATTGCGTTTTTCGTTGCCGTCAAGCATAAAATTACGACGACAACCAACTAAAACCAATGGACCGTGAAAGAAATCTACCAATCACAATCCACGGGCGTGAACTTTTGAATGGATTACTAAATGATTGACGCAGCGAAAAACGAAACCGTTGATTGAGCAGAGTTCCCGAGAGTTCGCATGTTATTGAAAGGCGCTGTAAAAGAAAACAAAATGGTTTTTTAAACAAATAATACAAAGTTCATTGTATCCGAGCCAAAGAACGGGGATCTCATCACAAATATCACAAATATTCAATAAATATTTCTTACAGGTAGAGTTGTCTAACATGTTGCCGGTGTATTCATCCTATGTGATCAATCTGTGGTGAGAGTATAAAACAGTTCATCCTTGATTACACTACTTGAATAGAACGGCATCAAACCTGAAATAAACAAACTAAGTTTATCAGAATTCAGTAACAGTGAGTCAGTGATATTACCCGTCACTACTTTACATCAAGAGGGTGTTTGGAGGAGTACTTTCTTTAAACAAAGTGGCGAGCAATTCATTGTCCGATTCCTCTCGACTTCATTTAAGGGTGAAATGTCAATTTTCGTCACTGAAGTTGCGTAGCAAACATGACGTCATAATGCCATGCTGGAGGGATAATAGGTAAATTTCGATATATTAAAATTATCGTTTATTTGTTATTTATTTGTTTGTTTGTTTGTCTGTTTATGATGATGATGATTTGTCTGGATTATGAGCCGACAACAGACGTGTCTAACTCAAAACTCTTGCTCCCGCCTCGATTAGTTTTGTAACTAGTAGCGGGGGCAAGCACTCTTGTAAATCTTATATTTAAAATAGAATAAAAGTTGTTGTTGTTGTTTTGTTGTGTCTGCTTACATTGTATTTTTTACAACGAGATCGGACGTCAGCATATAGAAGGCGCCTCTGGCTGCCGCTATCAGTCCATGTTGATCTCATTGTTCCCCACCCAACACATAACATGTGAAGTGAATGAATGGAAATCCCTACTGGTTAATATCCAACAATGATGTGGGTTCTTTAACGTCCCCTACTAATTTACTATGAGAAGGTGTAGGAGACAAGGCTAACAGCTTGACGTGATCATCTAACTGAGGACAAGGTGTTGAGCACAGCCAGGCATGATCTTACCAGTTATTTAAAGACCCTGGTTGGTGGTCCGGCCGGAATTCAAACCCGCGACCTCCCGCTCTGCAGACTGGCGCCCAACCAACTGAGCTAATCTGGAAAAGAAGGAAATTAACATTATTAGGTAAAATTAACACAGTCAAAACTCTGGGTCTTTTCGAAGCTTTAATATTCACCGCTTCCGTTCTTCCAGTCCCAAAACTTTCTGTGAACTTGTTAACAAAATAACTTTTAACTTCATTTGGGACAACAAGCCATGCTCAAATGGTTTGATTTATCCCGTAAATTGGGACCCTTAAAAGTTCAACACTCTTATTAGCCATTTTAAAGTCAGTGATTTTATGTTAGTTGTCGTTTCTTATCCAGAGAAATCGCCAGTTTGATAGTTTTAATGATCTTACAGCAGTTTACTACAGTACTACAGGCCCATAGGAAAGCAGTGATGGTGGTGTATTATAATGATGGTGGTGTATTATAATGGTCAGAGGCCCATTTTCGTGGGGGGGGGGGGGGGGGTACGGAGGCATCCTCCTCGGAAAATTTTTGAAAATCTAGACACGCTATAATGCCGGCCATTTGGTGCATTCTGAAACACTTTGAGGCACAGTTTGTTGTCAGTTTCAAGCCATATTTAAGCCATGTTTTGAAGATCTTTGAAGTCTGCATTGTCGTATAAAATGTAGGATTGATGCTACTTGCGATCACGTAATTGTGTCAACGCGTTTTTTTAAATAGCTGGTCTGAATTAATGAGTCAGGCTGAGTCAGTTATACACAAGAATGGCTATACCAACGGATGTGAGAGCTTAAAAACCCTATAAAACACATTTTTGAAGGAGAGAAACCAATTTTTGTCTCTCTCTGTTTCTTCAGCCATACTTCCACTCTTTTAAAGTTCGCGTGGAATCTTGTGGCCCTTAGGCCTCGCTTTCATGCTTAGGGCGTAAGCGTGTATATTATCAAAACAACACTGTTTGTGTGTCTAATTAAAAATTAGAATAAAGTGGTTTTTATTAGATTATTGATTTTTTTCTCTTTTTCCAATCATATACAAAGACAACATAATACATCTCAAATCAAAGGAAAGGGATGGCAGGGTTATTCAAGTTATAAAGTTATGTATGTAGGGGCATCTACAACATTGGCATTACCAAACTTCCCACAAAACAGTCATATACACAAATGTCACCCCACAAAACAGTCAATTTTTTATACACAAATGTCACTCCACTGGTCGGTTAATCTATAAAGAACCAACAAAACCAGGCTCATCATTCACATCATCTGTCAGTTCTCTCAAAATTTGGCTCAATTCAATTGACAGTTTTGTTAATTGAGCACATTTTCTTTGTTTTTTATCGGAAACTTTAGGGACTTTGATCTTCATATATTTCTCCTGTTTTTTCTTCTCTTGCAAAAGTTGGAGAGCTGATTTGAGATTTCCCACATGTTCAGATGTAAGCTAGGCAATACAAGTATATAACAAGAGTCTAATTTTCTCTATAAAATGTTCTCTAATGTCCTTTAATATTCTAAAAAATCTTAGTGAGCTCACAAAAATTAAAGAACTAAAAACTTACAAATTCTGATAAAAATTGTACACCCTGTCTCAGTCCGGCTGGTCTATTCCGCAGGGCACGAAATTAACTTTTTTTTCCAGGAGCCATTTGGCTCCTAAATATTCCAAAGTGGCCGCCAACTACAAAAAGTTAGTCGCCATTTTTTCCAACAATTTTGGTTTTTTTCAGCACCAGAGACACAATCCATCGGCATACATGACGTATTCAAAGGTTTCGCACAACTCGCAATGCATTGTAGGGCGATTTGTTTACTGAGCTGAGTCCAGCTGAGAGAAACTTTTGTTGATGTTTTTTGGCCCATATTTCTTGTGATGAAAGTAAAACAAGAAAAGAGAAATATTGTTTTTTAACTTTAATCTATTGTGTGACTTTTTTATGGCAAAGAACTGAAAACTTAAGGTAAGATGTCAGAATTCTAGTCGGCGCAGTCGCCAATTTGGCGACTAATTTTCAGGATTTGGTCGCCAACGTCGAAAACTTGGGCGCATTGGCGACTGTATCAGGCGCAATTTCGTGCCCTGTTCCGGTGGTTGGGGGTGAGGGGTGGGGGTGGTGGCTGAGGGGTGAGGAGTGAGTGGTAGGGGTGATGGGTAGGGGGTGAGGGGTGAGGAGTAGGGGGTAAAGGGTAGGGGTGAGGGGTAAGGGGTGAGGGGTAGGGGGTGAGGGGTAAGGGGTAGGGGTGATGGGTAGGGAGTGAGGGGTAGGGGTGAGGGTATGGGTAATGGGTAAGGGGTAGGAGGTGAGGGGTAGGGAATGAGACTAGGTAGGCTGGATTAGCCCATGTTATGAATAAGGTCTATGCTTCTACTTAATTTTAATCCATTGTCCCAGATTTAACTATATGTCACAAAAGCAGGAAACTGATACAAACAAATCTTAATTCAACTGCAGCTGCTGCCTTTAGCTCCATATGTCAATTGCCTATTTCAGACCATGTGATGTTCTCTAGAGAATTGTTTTCTTTGTCTATCTAAAATTTATTTGTTCATGTACAGACTGTACACGTGAATATGATTCAATTTGAAAGAAACATACTCTAGAGTAACATCACATGGTCTGAAATGGGGCAACAAACAAACCACGCTAAAGAGGTCTAAATTGCCATTCCATTTGATGCATGATAAACAAGAACAAAACAGCTTTATCTAAAATAGAAGCTTATATCTATCTGCCTAACTAACGAGTCAGCTGTATGTCAGAAAATCAACAACTAACCCAGCAAAAATGGAAAATAACGCAACAGCATTTTCACTGAGATTGTGACATCAAGTCATATTATGTTTTTCACTTAAAATTGTTGATCGCGGCCTCGCCAATTTCAGAATGCTTTCCTTTTAACAAAGCACTTCAGCATTGTATGCCGGGAGTTTTTCATTTTTAATACAATACTCTATAGAAAGCATCAGGTCCCTGTTGTTCAGATTCCGGATATTAGCATTAATCCGGTGGCCTTTAGTTTACATTATTGTAGCTATTTGGACAGAATACTGCGATGAATTTCATTACAGACAGAGTCGTCAATTTCAACTCAACTGACATATTAATATTGCCATTAATGTAAACACGTTAGGTGTTAAGACGCTGTACTTCACCTGAGCCAAATCGAATTCGAATTTAGGCCGACCCAAATAAATTTAGACCGGCTGAATTGATTCAGACGCTAAGCTTCAATTCAGCCGAACTTAATTCAATAGCGAAATATCCTCATTGATAACATATGGGAAAAATAATAAAAGGAAAGGACTTTTAGACAGTCTAATCCGCCTATGATAGTTGGACAACTTAGAAGTCACTGCAATTTTTTTTATCATTAGCCATTGTTTTTCCTTTCACCCACCACCCCCACCCCCTACCCCCTACCCCTCACCTCCTACCCCTCACCGCCTACCGCCTCACCCACCACCTAAACCCCCATCCCCACCACCCCCCCGACCACTCCACCCCCCCATCCCCGCGAATAGAGACCTGCCAACACCACCGTAAAATGAGCATAATTTAACAAAGGCTAATTCTGGCCCTGTTGGAAATGACAATATCTAATCTACAAAAATCTACTGATTGGCTTTTTCGAAAAATTGGACAACACCCTCTCTGAATAACCAAATGTTTTGATTCTTGTATTAGTAGAAACAGATCGCTTTTTTTAAAGCGCTGAAAGTTGGTAATTTTGCAACAAACGATTGTTAATTTTAGAGGCATTTCCAGCCATTTCAGAGGACTTAAATTCACAAGTTTTCCGGCCTCATGCTGACCCGTTCACATTAGCCCCCCCCCCCCCCCCCCCCCCCCTCCCCACTAAAAAAAGTGTTGCGTTGGGCCCTGCAACAATGACTTCTGGTTGCTTGCGTGTCAGTTGCTTTTATAGTTAGTTTCTCATTTAAATAGTTAGTTCTCTCGTTTATCCGAGAACAGAACCTGTACTTGTAATGAAAGGAAGTAGAGGGTCAGTAGCAGACCTTAGCCACGCTTCCACCATATTGGAAATGTCTAGTATATGAACTTAAAAGCAATCAGAAAGTTGTCGGAGATGTCAAAAAGTTGTCAAAAGTTGATCATGAACTTTATTTAGTGGCAACGGTAGGGCGCTCATTGTATACTTCTGAACTTTTGTTTTGTTTTTCTCAGTTTCCTAGTGAATTTTAGGGGGTCAGTTGGGTGGGGGGGGGGGGTCAGTAGGGGGTCAGTAGGGGGTCAGTAAGGGGTCAGTGGTTTGTCGAAATCCGCTGCAAACAGCATAATTCACATCCTGTCCCTTCGGTGTCCGTATAAGGTTATTATATTAGGTCAGAGAGCATTTTTCCCACTGATATATAAAACGTACCCTGCAGTGGTATAAGCAGTACTTTATATAATGTATCAGTCAATTCCAAGCGCGATCATCCCCCCCCCCCCCCCCCGGGCAACCCCCGGGCATTTCACCCCTATTGTGGCCCGCATGGTGGGGAATTTGACTCGAACAGAAGCCCGGACGGTGGGGCATTTGACCGTCGACAAAATATTGGTCAGCGGTCAAGGTTAAAAGCAATCTTGTACTCCATATAACACGTCATAACCCCACATGGTCTTCGCTCGCTCAGCTCGCTCATGCGACCTTCCCGTCGCGCGTGACTCGCGCTCCACGCTCGCCTCGCGCTCGCCTAAAAAACGCAAAAAAATAACGCCTGTTCTGCAGGCTAGTTCGGAGGGACGTCAGGAAAAGCCGTTATCGCGATAACTTTCGATGATTTACAAAAGAACCGTGAATATCGCCACGTTTATTAAATAGGGCCCATGTTGCCAGTTAGTTTCTTTTGGTGTGTGACTGTGTGTGTATAAAAAGCTGCGTTAAAGTAGGTTCAACGTATGTAAAAACGCTTTATAAGACTTACTGTATTGCAACGAGAAGAGACGATTCGGTTATTCTACTTGTTAAAAGTCACTATTTTGCGAAAAATGGTCAACAGTTAGTAAAGTTAATAACACCATTAAAGGAGAAACGTGAGTATGGGTGCTGATAAGTCTTTACTTGATTCCTGTTGATTCACAGTTTTAATAGGTTATTGTGAGTAAATGCGTTTATCTTTTCCTATTAAAATTTGTTTACAGTGTTCGTTTATTTTTATATAGAGCTAGTGAAAACAAGAAAACCCCAACTCACGATGACTTTTCAGGCTCGACCGGTGGGGCATTTGACCGTGCAACTGGCCCGCATAGTGGGGCATTTGATCAGAAATTTTGAATAAAGTCAAATGCCCGGGGGTTTGTCCGGGGGGGGGGGGATGATCGCGCTTGGAATTGACGGAGCCATACTGATAAGCAGTCGTTCGTGTTCCTTAACCACCTAAAGTACAACAAACATTTAAATGCATTTTAAATTCTCAGTAAAATGCTTACCTTGTGATGTGTTTAATAAATACGTTATCTCGCGTCTGAACTAGCCATTTTCCCCGGTACGTTTTATGGAAGCTTGTCGCCGCGGACGCCATGTTGGAAATAAATGCTCATGAAAGACTGGAAACTAGTAGCTAAAGAATCAGTCCCAGGGTCTCACGGGAAGGGGCGGGGCCGCAGGGGTACGGAAGCGGGAAGTTCAGACACCCTGTCCCCCATTTCCGACGACAAGGGTCCCCGTCCCTTTTATACAGCAGCTTCCTCGGGCCTTGCAGACATTGCATATTCGCCAGCAGACTAAGATTGCAGAATTGTTTTACTTTAAAAGTGCAGGCTTTCAGACTCGCTCACCTAAAAACTGTCGCCGAACTGCAAACCTACAAAAAAAGTTACAAACTAACACACTTTTATAACATAGCTACAAACCCACCCACCCTCCCCCATGGGGGATTCCCATGTGAAAGGGGCAGAGATGCCCGGAAAATTTGAATTAAACCCCGAAAAGAGACCAGATTTTATGCCAGTATAACACAGTATAACGATTTATTCGCGTGCAACCCTAAACGATACCCTGATGGCTAAAATTATTGGCGTTCTTGTCCTGGACACCCTAAGTGATACTAAGAATCCGTAATTTACACCCCTAAACCAGACGACGAGCACCCCGCCCCTTTCGCGAGCGACTGGTCCCCTCCCCGGGACTACAAAGCTGCGCAATCAAATATTCAGTACACGTAAACAGTTGTGGTGGCTTTTGGTCGAGAGTTGTGGTTACTTTTGGTCAGAGTTGTGGTGGCTTGTGGGGGTGGCATTTGGTAATGTTAGACTCACAAGGAAGGCAACCCTCTCCGCTTAATTACATCACGTTGTGGAACGGCAATCGAAAGACTCTCTGCATTTACCGAGTTCTATACACTATTCCTGTGCTATTTAGATTTCGAAACTTTAACTACCAAATAGCAAATGTGCCAAATATCTAGTCAAAATTCTGAGAGGAAGTTCGATTATTTTAACTCTACTTTCGAACTTCGACTTGCCGCCATTATTCGATTCGAAAACGTCCGAGCGCCTAACAAAGGATTGGGTCGAGAGGACAATGACGTCATCCAATCAACCCATTCGAAACAAATATGGGTTATTCTGTGTGCTCGAAGGCTAACCTCTGGTTGTATTGTAAATCGACAAAAACGTTTACCTAAGTCGCTTCTGTTGCTGTTTCTTCTACGATGGCTTCGCGCGAAGGCAAGTTGATTGGATGACGTCATGAACAGACGCTCATGGAAAAAATCGCGGGCCTCGAAGTTTGCGAACCAAACAATGGCGGACGGATTACGAGATTTTTCGCGGGCTGGTTTCTCTGCCGTGTTGGTACTTTCTGATCAGATTTCTAGCGTCTTGTATTTATCATTATACAAATAATGAAATTGTCTAAAAAACCGCGAAAGAAAATGCTTAATTTTCGTCGTAGTAGCACTTTAAAGTGCTCGCTATATATTGCTTCAGTAGTTTCAATGTTTCGCGGACGTTATTTCTGAAAATGTTACTACTGTTCTCAACGTACTAACAGCCACGAAACATTGAAATAACTGAAACATCATCATCATCATCACCCAACCCCGCCCACTACGCTACAGGAATAAATTTACAGCCACCCCCTAGTTTCGTGAGGTCCTGCGAGTGTCGCATGTCTATTTTGTTATTAAAAATATGGCGGAGGTGGGCATCCTTCTACTTTATATTATTATTTTTGGTGGTTTCAACTACAGTCGAACCCCTATTAAGCGGCCAACCCCTATTAAACGGCCACTTGCTATTTCCCCGAGGGTGGCCGCTTAATAGGGGTTCGACTTACTACCATTATTTCAGTTGAGAAAATATCCTATGGACAATGAGCGCTCTGATTGGCTGAAAGCCGTGCCATGTTTTTATAACTCTACAGAAACACGAAAACGTTTTAATTCGTGTGCTATTTTCCACAAGTAAAACGGCTCGTGAAAAAAGTCAATTAGAAAAATATTAAAAATCAAACAGTAAGATATGAAAGTACTGCTCAATAGCTTTCCTTAGATTGGTCACACTAGAAGCACAGAAAATATATAGAATTAGAAACTATTAATACATTTTGTATATTGTACTTTCTCTTTCACCTATTGGCGGATATTACAAACATATCTTATGTTTATTGATAGGTAATTTCAAATAGGTTTTTGAAGTATATATATTTTGTAAATTGAACGGAAATGATGCTCGCAGATATGTTTGCAATTTTGAAGCAATTCCAAAGAAGCCTGAACAAAAATCCAAGGCTTCAATGGGATTTGAACCCCGCATGACCTCCGCGTTACCGGTACGATGCTCTACCAACTGAGCTACGAAGCCACACATTGGGAACAGGTCAATTGTGAGTTTATATACCCATGAAAGTGATAAAATGACCATTCATACTAATATCACTTATCAAAGTATATTCTGTTGGTTAGTTCCTCAGCTTTGATATCAGACGCCGGTCTCTTTCAGTTTGTCAAAATCGAAATAAGGAGTGTTTTTTGTCATCATGTTTTCCAGTGTTGATATCAGTTGTTCAAATGTTGGTCGTTCGTCAGGATCCTCCTTCCAACAGTCCGACATTAAAGAATATCTAATGAGAATAACAAAGAGAAATACGTATTCATGATTTACGTTCCATAAACTGCACCTACGCCTTCTCCCTCCGAGTTAATACGATCCCTTGATTCTATAACATCCCAGAGAAAGAGAGGATGATACAGGAGAAGGATTCCCCGTGCCCCATGATAATTTTTTTAAATCTATTAATAGTTTCGCGCCATGCTGTGAAAGTTATTTTTATTTCCTTCTGATCGAGGCTCAGTTTTTCACGAGGCGTTTTACACCAATTGCACGTTGTTCAAGTAACACATTATACAATATTCAATGCATCATGAGATCTGGAGACTGATCTGCTGTAAAATTATGGTAGATTTGAGTGAACTTTAGTGAAAATGTTACAACCGTAATGCATGGTTTTTGAGGATGCATGGATGTTTTGTTGAGTTAGGACCCGTTTCACGTCATGGCACAAAGAGCTCTTTGATTTTCAATAGTGTTAGTTACTCAGTCTGACACGCAAACTAATTACTTACAGATCTTCAGGGCAATTGTCTGGTTTATCCAAACGGTATCCTCTCTTAAGAAGATTAAACAACTCTTTGTTGTCAATTCCAGGATAAGGAGTTTCACCTATTACATGTTTAGAGGGAAATGTTTCATAGATTGTCTGAGATGGAACAACAATAATAACAATTTGAAATTAAAACAACACTTGGTGGGTAGATAGCAATAGGGGAATAGGTTTCATTATTCGTTCTACTAAAGGGAAGATTAAAGTTAAATGCTAGTTTTTCGGCATTCATTGTAGCACTATATGAGGTTTTAATCTCATACAGTTTAAGTTCTTAAATTCACTGAATTGAATCCGTAATGCTTGTTGTAATATATTAAACACGAGAGTCAGTGTTTCATCACATTTCCAAACACCGAGAAGATAGTTGAAAATACGACGCGTTGCGGAGTATTTTTGACGAAACTCGAGATGTTTGGAAATATGATGAAACACTGTCTCGAGTGTTTGATATATCTTCCCATTCGAAACTAAACCTAAGGAGTAAACCGAGAAATAAAATCGTAAAATCTATGCTAATTAAGATCAGATATCCAAACCACAGTCACGGTTATGATTTCCTTTGTTTTAACTTGATGAATTATTAATGAGTTTGAGAAGGCCATGTAATTCTATGTGGCGACTGAAAGGCCCAGCGTTTCATTTTGAAAGCATTTTTTAAAAACGGTTATGCTCTCCGGTAAGATATTAATAGGCCAAGGTTTAAAATCGAGATCGTCAGGTACTTTTGTACGAGCTAGTGAACCGTTTTAATTAACTATATAACATGGATGCAATTTTAAAGATCTCAGAAGCCCCTTAGCTAGATGACAATACGCATTTGCAACCAAACAGTTACAGATAGTTCCATAATATTTGTGATGCCCAGTCGCCTATTCTTACCCGCTGTTGTTAGTTCCCACAGAAAGACACCAAAAGACCATCTGAAAAGATCGAAATTAATAAAAAATAATACAAAAATACATTGATTAAAGTGTAAAAGGATAACTGACTGGTCTGTATACGAATTACTTGAATTTACAGCAAACTTACACGTCACTTTTGGAAGTGAATGTATTGGTTGAAAGAGCCTCTGGTGCCGTCCATTTGATGGGCAGTTTTTTCGTGTGCTTCATCTCGTATATTTCACCATAGGTGTGGCGTAACATACCAAAATCAGCAATCTTCACTGCTCTGTCCTCACCAAGAAGAACATTACGGGCTGCCAGATCACGATGGACCAATCCTTTGCTGGCCAAGTAATTCTATCGCAAAAAAAATTACTTTCAGGTCTGCCCTCAGTAAACAGTCGTCCTCAATTCAATCCCCCTGAGACTTCCATATTGATTACGTAGCTCTACAGAGATCCGTGCAGTGTCTCTGATTGGTTGTTACTTGCACGCGAAAGTCTGTACCCTTAGTAACAACCAATCAGAGACATTACATGGATCTCTGTCGAGCTACGTCATCTGTATGTAATTTTTCGGATCGAATCTCTCAGACGCCTCTATGGCGAGGTATATGAATATTGGAGCCCGTGAAGAGATGCGCCTGTTTATAATTACTAAGGCTAATTAAAAATAAGTGATAAAAGATGAGACATAAATCGGGTCATGCATATACAGTGGATATATGTAGAACTGCGTCATCAGTATGGAATTTTTTTCTGCTTGAATCTCAAACGTCTCTTTCGCATGGGAAGAAAATTAGTTCAATGAAGAAAAATCTTACCGAAAAAATAAACCAGTAAATCTCTCCATCATAGATCCGAAATACAGAAAGGATATATGTAGAGCTGCGTGCGTCATCTGAGGAAGAAAATTAGTTCAGGACGAAAGATGTTCTTCTTCAGACTAGTTTGCTTACTGTATTTCGGATTTATGATGGAGAGATTTACTGTTTTTTCGTTAATTAAGGTTTTTCTTCATTGATCAGCCTTTCCTTTCTTCAGTACTCACCATTCCCTGTGCAACTTGCCACGCAAAACAAAGAACATCCTTAGTTGAAAGTTCTTCTTCGCCATCCTCCTCAGGCTTGGAGACGGCCGACCCAGACCCAGTCGAATCTGATATCCGTCTAGGGGGTGGGTTAATATCCAAGTTATTTACTGGAATACAAAGCTGATCACTGATACCTCTTCGTTCAAACAATACGTCCTCGCCTATCAGTGCTTCTCTTTCATCTTCCGACATATTTTTCTCAGATGAAATGTCCATGGCTCTTTTGCTGATGATGGGTTGATTTATTTTTTCTTTGTCTTCGTATAATTTAGCGGGTTCCTCTTTCAATCCTTCGCTTTTTTCGAGTTCGTTGTTTTTACCAGCCATCAGTGGCTCTGTTTCCTCCGAGGTAGATAAGTCATTCTCTCCGTCATCCATCACGTCTCCTCTCTCATTCTCTTCTACCTTCTCGCCTTCACCTTTGTCTTCTTCGTTTTCTCCTTCGTCTGAAATCGAAGACCCGCTGTCATCACACATACAAGAAGATAATTCTCCGAAAACATCTCCGTCGATCCTGTTCTTGAGTTTGATCTGTATTTAACAAGAGATATGTCACATTATAATCCATCAAATATTTTTTTGCGTGTGACTGGTCTAGACGCGTCACGTGATGCAGCGAAAACTGTGGAATATCTCCCAAGTGATATCCCCCAGTTTTCAAAATGTGTATCAGTTTCACATTTGTAACATTCAGTTCAGTTTTTAACATAATATGGGCTATATAATATTAATACCAGGACATACCTACCTGTTTTCGTTTGTTTCTAAGCCACTGAAGAAGATCCCCGTGTGGAACGTATTCTAAGATTAGCATGATGGGATCTGACTTTACCCAGTAGCCGACCATACTCAAAACATTCCTGTGAGAACCAATTTGCTTCATGAACTCAATTTCTTGCAGAAGCTGATTTTTACCTTCCTCGTTGTACTTTTCTGAAGAATGGAAACAAATTCAATTAATAGTTGTAGAGAGTAAGTTCAGGTATTTTTTGCATTAAAACTAATGTGTACTGAATGAAAAGATGAGGGCCTCACTGTTACGTTACTACGTTAAACAGACATCGAAACAAACACACAACACACAGACACAAGGAGACACTTGACAATTCTAGGGCGCCATAGAGGAATCTGAGAGTAGAAAAAATGCCATAAGAAAACACAGCGAGCGAAGCCTTAATCAGTCCAGTCAGTGTAGTCTGGTTCTGCTTCTAATAGGACTAATGAAACATCTATGAAATTCTTACCCAGTAGAGTTTTAATAGCAACGACCTTTCCTTCTTTTATTTCCACTCTCTCCTCTTTGGGCTTAAAAAACACCTCAACGCCCGCTAGATCTGTCAGAACACCTTTGTGAACTTTGCCATATGCCCCACGACCAAGCTCTTCCATAAACGTCACCCGCTGAGGAGGAATCTCCTTGTGCAGAAGGCGAACAATTTTATACTTTGATCTAAAAAAAGTAACAACAACTTAATTTGACTTTATAAGATCGGTACACACTAGGGGACTTAGGGGACTTTTCCCCGGGACTTATAGCTGTTCATAATCATAATCATAATCTTTATTTATATAGCGCCGTTTCTACTAAAAAACCAACAGCGCTTAACAAAACTACTTATTCTTGTTCACACGAGAGGACTGGTCGCAGGGACTTGTAGCAAGCCTGTGTCTCGGGTACAAGTCCTTTGAGCGTACATACGAGGGGACTTGTTGCTGGGACAGTCTGATTTGTTCTTTGATTGGTTTATCCTCTCTTTACTGTCAGTGGTGCGCATTCTCACAACAGATCGTTATTTTCTTGAGAAAAATAACACGTCGTTATATCATAGAATATTAATAAATGAAACACGCGGAAGCGATTTCCTACCTTCTACTCTTAAACTTCTTTATGTTCTTCCTCCATTTTATTATGATGATTATCAAAATCATTAGAAGTACAAAGACGACACTTCCAGTAACTATATCAGCCACCGTAATATTACTACCACTGCTGTTGTTGTTCATGTAGTTGCTGTCGATGTTCTTGTTGCTGTTATCTGAAAGATGTGATACATTTTTTTATAATATACTAATTAACCATAAGATAATGCATTTTCAAGCAATGTTATTTTTTTCCTACTCATGGTCTCAGAGGCAGTATACCTTCTCTACCTTATTTGGAAATACCGCGAAGCCTCAATGTTTCTTTCGTCTCGGGCAAAAAATGGCGGAACATTTCCGTC